TATCTATAAAGGGCGGATGTGCGAACTAAATTCCTATTGAGCGAGCGAGCTACCGAGAGAGGCTAACATATTTCCGGGCCTTTTCTAGTGCTTTTCTAATGACAGAACCACGATAAAGTCGACTTAAAAGCAGTACCCGATCTAGGGGGGGGGGGGGGCAAAGTGGGACAAATGTCCCGCCTTCCCCCCCACACATTTAGGGGCCCCCCACAATTCTGGGTCATACTAATATTTTATCCCGGAAAGAGCCAACCAGTACCTGGGCTGAGGGTGCGAGGATTGGGGCAGTAAGGGATATTGGGAGCCCCAGGCACTCAAGGGGGCGGAGTACATACTAGTACGATCCGCTGTCAGTTCGAACAATTTGAACAAACAACAATGGGGCCCCCGCACAGTTGTTATGTCCCGGGCCCCCCACAAGGTTAATCCGGCACTGCTTAAAAGTTAATGTTTGTAATATAACGGTATTGCTACTTGTTATATTAAAACGGTTTATTGACTTTCTTATTTCCGTTTCATATGTTCGAGCAATATAATGAGGCTAGTATCGGTCAAGCGGTAATATAATATACCAGTCACTTCTGTGGAACGCCGGAGTGGGACTGTACCTCTGGGTTCCAGCACACGGGAATAGCATAGGAGAGACAGAGAGAAATGGTGTTTAACGTCCACTCGACGTCTATGGGGTTTAATATCCTTTCGATTTTCAACTGTGAAGGGTAATTTTACGTTCAAGTCAATGTGTATACACGCGGACTTCGTTTTTTTTATACCACCCGGACGACTGGATACACTTTCCTTGCTACCTATAATAAGTGAAGACTGGGATTGAAAAATCATTATAATTGATTTGGACCCAGTACGGGAATTATCGATCTTCGCGAAACGAAATGGAAATGAAATGGGATTGTGTTTTGTTTTTCATTCTATGCGAGCTTGGAGAATTTTGCCCCGACAGCGGCATCCCCGTCTACTCTTTTTCGATCTCCAACTGTCAAGGTTTTTTTTACGTTCACGCCTGTGGGTATTGTGTGGGCCTCGGTTTTTCGTCCTTTCCTAACGATTAGACAACAAAAGTTTCTTGTCGACCTACGGTTATAGATTTAAAACTTGAAGAGCTGTCCGGGCAAAATTTCTCTCATAGCACACTATATGCCCGTCTTCATATTTAGCTGATTAGGGGATCATGATGGCTAAGTGGGTAAGACGCTGGCTCGCTATCCTGAGGTCGGGTTTTCGAATTTCCGGCGTGATTCTCCCTTGTCAGTGATGCAGGACGGAGTGCCTGACAAGGACAGCTGTCTAGTCGTTCGGATGGGACTGAAAACCGAGGTTCCGTGTACACATTGGCATGCACGTAAAAGATCCCTTGACAGTTAGAATTCGATATAAGAGTAGGCCGTAGTGTCGCTGTCCGGGTAAAATTTCCCTTGTAGCACACTGTATGGCGTATGTCCGTCTTCATTAGCCTAGTTCGGAGCAGAACAGTAGGATGTTAAACCCCATTTCATTTCATTTCATTTCATTATATATGCGGAGTCGGAGCAGTAGCCTACCATGTTCCTGAAGTAACGACTGCGAGTTTTACAAATGTACGGAGTTAAAGCGAGATCAAGCCTTCTATTGAAGATGGAGGAGAACATGAGTAGGACGTTAAATCCCATTACATTACATTTCACGTTTCTTTTGATAGTTGATAAGGGAGGAAATTGTTAATTCAAAGTGGTATAGGTTATAAAATATTTCTTGATCTACAGTTTCCGTTCAAGTTATATGAGTTTCCTCCAAATAGTATTTAATACGCCCATCATGTGGAATATTATCGTCATATATCCACAAATTCTCAAATTTATCCGATCGCAAGTTTCAGAGCTATCGTTCCATTAAGGCAAAATCTTTTGAACGCCAGGTAGACCTATTGCATAGTTTTCTTCTGTCTTTGTTTTATTTGGAGGAGGTATGCATTACCCTATTGAATTTATATAAAAATACTAAGTCTAAATTTATCTTCTGACTTTTAAAGCTTTTAAATGAAATTGGGTTAACACACGCCATGAGCTACACCCTAATATTTTTTCAAATTCCAGCTGTCGAGGGTTTTCTTTTTACCTGTAAGTCAACGTGAACACTAGCTACGAGAACGTAACTAAGAACGCTGAGATATACTGATGTGCTCATTTTTACGGAGGGTTGATAGATTAAGTTTTGTTATCTACGTGAACACGAGACCTCAGTTTTTCGTCACATCCGACCGACTCCGTATCTTGCCAGGTCGTCCGTCCTTCACTACTCAGGAAATCCCAAGGAACACCCTCGGCCAACATCGGGATCGAATCTGTCTAGATATTTGCGAGCAGACACGAAGCTGGTTGGACGATTTTAGTCGAAAACACTAAGTATACTTGAAGAATTTTGGGATGTCTTTGTTTGTAAGAAAGATGTAAAACGGATTACAAAAAATGTTTCTAATTTTCTAATATGGCGGCCATTCAGTGCAAAGAACTGTTCTCGAGGTATACAGTTCTCTGTATGCAGAATGCGGTCGCTTCTTTTGCAACAAAAAGAAATTAGGTACCGTCAAAAATATTCATAAACCATAAAGAACAAATGAATAGTCATACGTCCAAATCTAATAAATCTAACCGAAGCTTAATAAAAAAAAAGAAAGAAGCCCTAATCATCCTTAATTTAGGTACCGGTATTTAATACTATTCAAATTTTCTGTTCCGACAAATCTGGTTAAAACACAGATCATATTTCGTTTCGTTTTTATAGTTCAAAATTTCGTTTTACTTGTCTTTACTACACTTCATGTAGTGTAGGCCAATGACGTCTATACCAGTATAGACGTCATTGGTGTAGGCCATCGAAAGTATAAAAAAACGAAACGAAATATTGATCTGTATTTTAATCAGATTGTGTTCCGACCAATCATTTAACTTTATATATTTTTTAAAATTTTTATCTTGAACAAATGGAAACCTACGATTTGACGTCTTTATAGAACAATCATTAAAAATTCTTTCATTAAACTTTTCTATATTTGATCGACGATTTTTTTTCTTTTGTAGTAACTAATTGTGACTGTCTTATATTTCATCGGGGGGTTGGATGGGCGAATGGTTAGCACCTGCGCGCTGTATCATAAGGTCTGTCAATGAGTCAACTGGCTTGGTTTCGATTCCCCGGTTGTACGTAACAAGGGGTAGGGTCGCCTGTCCAACCTCGCGCGTTTTCTCCAGGTCCTCCCACTGCTAAGCGAATTATTGAAATAAAATTGAACCATATGTTAGTCCCGAAATGACTTAGTTTCTGTCGAGTGGACGTTAAACACCATCTCTCTCTCTCTCTCTCTCTCTCTCTCTCTCCTTCATCTAATACGATATACAAAGAAGTATTAGGATACAGGAGTAGATCGATACTAAAGTCATTCCTATTCTAAATGAAGCTACCTTGTTGCCTTTATCTCCTCCCATAGATTGGTCAATGGTCGTATTAAATGGGTATAACTTCAACGATTGGGATCATTTCTCTGATTACTATCGCCTTGACATTTGCCCGAGTCTTAGAGTCTATCTTTGTGTAATATATAAAAACGACGATATTGAACTCGGCTACCGTATACAATAACGATCATGTAACCTACATATTGCTATAATACTTGGCCCAGTTTTGCCTTATTAATTGATCTAGCTTATTTACGTTTGACCGTACGTCGTCCCTAAGGAAATATTCTTTGACATGTTAACTCAGTTCTTGAAGGTTCTATTGACACTCAACCATTAAATGTAATTTAAAATGTCATAAACGTCTAGCTTCAGGTTGTAATAAGTGTAGGAGTAGGCCTATGACACGTGAATCAACAATCTGAGACTTTTTAATATTTCATAGTGCATATCCCTTGTACACGTTGGCATGCACTAAAACAACTTGGCATGCACTAAAAGAGAGAGAGAGAGAAATGGGGTTTAACGTCCACTCGACAAAACTAGGTCATTTCGAGACTAACATAGGGTTTTAATTTTATTTCAATAATTTGCTTGCGCGTAGGGGTCTTTAGCAGGGGGAGGAAAACGGAGCACCCAGAGAAAATCCCGAGGTTGGATGCACTAACAGAACGTAGGCTGTAACACTGCTGTCAGGGAAATATAGCACACTATAAGATGTTATGTCCATCTTAATTAGCCTATATTATAGTGGGTGCAAAACAGTTGGATCAATTTTATTTCAATAATGCACATGTGCGTAGGGGGTTTACCAGTGGGAGGAATCCTTAGGCCCCAGAGAAAAACCCACAATGTTGGATAGGCGACACTACTCTTTGTCACTACAAGCTGGATATTCAATACTAGGCCACTTGACTCCATGACAGACCTTAAGATGCAAGCATTCAGACCTAGAGAAAACCCAGGATGTTGGGTAGTCGACCCTACTGTTTGTCGTTTGTCAGATACAAGCTGGTTATTGAAAACACCCAACTTGACTCAATGACAGAAATGAAATGAAATGGGGTTTAACGTCCTACTGTTCTGCTCCGAACTGGGCTAAAGAAGACGGGAATACGCCATACAGTGTGCTATGAGGGAAATTTTGCCAGGGCAGCAGCGCTACGGCCTACTCTTATATCGAATTCCAACTGCCAAGGGACCTTTTACGTGCACACCAATATGTACACGGGACCTCGGTTTTCCATCCAACCCGAATGACTAGACAGCTGTCCTTGACAGGCCCTCCGTCCTGCATCATTGACAAGGGGAAAGCACGCCGGAAAATCTGGATGGACTTTCTCGGCCAGTGTAGGGATCAAACACCCGACCTCCAGGCTAGCGAGCCAGCATCTTACCCACTTAGCCACCGTGATCCCCCGACTCAATGACAGACCTAATGATCTAAAGTATACATGTTAAACTATTCAACCACCCTACACGCCTTAATATTTAATAGTGCACAGTCTAGAAATATAACAAATATTTTTAACAAATAGAAAAAAAAGCAGAAAAAAAAAGTATAAATAGTTTAATGTATTCCACTATCACATATCACAGTTTCAATAATTCACAGTTTTAAATACAAACTCAAAATAGATGTATAATCTGGAAAAATAAAATCTCTTATCATCAATTTCTATAAATAATCTATAAATATTTACATCATTTTACCAGTTTCCTCCCTTATCTCACTTTTAATACACAAACTGGTTTACATTCCAATATTTACAAAATTATTATGTACAACTGATGTTAAATATAGAATGCTTCAATTTCTAATGGACAGACTCCAAGACTGTTACAATAGTAAAAGTTTCGCCCCCTCCCTCTGTGAAAAAATTGTCGACAATAAAAAAAACACCTAGTTATACCGTACGGTGTCCGTCAATTTTTCAGCACTCCTGAGATTGATATTTTGATTTTGTTTTCTTAATTAAATGTTAAATTATCAATTTGAGAGAGAGAGAGAGAGAGAGAGAGAGAGATAGAGGGAGAGAGATAGAGGGAGAGAGATGGGGTTTAAGTCCACTCGTCACAAACCAGGTCATTTCGGAACTAACATATGGTTCCATTTTATTTCAATAATTCGCTTGCGCGTAGTGGGAGGAAACCGTAGACCCGGAGAAAACCGGGGAATCGAAACCACGCCAGTTGACTCATTGACAGACCTTATGATACAGCGTCCACGTGCTAACCATTCGGCCATCCAATTTGAGTACATTTTAGTAAGGATTAAATTGTAGAAAATTTATATTCTCCAACACATTAATAAAAATCAGAAAAAATACAAATTATTTGTGAAAATTAAACATACATTATGCAAGAGCTAAATCTGCCTATCGCAGGCCTTTCTTTAGGCATGAAATGTTATCTTAATTATTAATTAGACATTAATTAACATATCCAGTCCATAATCAACTCTCGATGGCATGGCTAGCCTGCGACATTTATTGGATTAGGTTTTGATTTTCTGCTTAACTCTTAACTTTCATTCATGATTTAATCATGAAATGGATAATCGAGACTATGTTTTTTTATCGTACAGACTTTAGCAATGATGATCAAAGCTACGCTAAAATCTTGGTTCAGAGTGCATCAATATGACATAAATTTTCAGCAAATTCGCTTTATATTATCTAGTTTTTAACTATTATAGTGAGAACTGCCATGTCTTTATCTAATTTCCCATAATGTATCTTTAATGAATCTGGTAATCTGTTAAAAATGATCAAATTTCCATGTAAATAAATAATACTGAACAAAAATATGAAGAGTCAATTAAGGGTTATTTTTGTTGAGTAAAGAAGCAGTTTACAACCAGTATATCTGATAGATGAGTGACTCACCATTGACCATTATAAACCAACCATTAGAATGGTTCATCCATCACTCTTAAACACAGATTAATTGTGAATACTGTTTCCCCATTTTTATACCTATATTTTTTAAAAATCTTTTAGAGGCATTCAGTAACTGGACAAAGAAATAAACTATAACACATACTTATGGAAAACCAGCTACTTATTTATTTGATAACCGTGAGAGAATACTCTTCAAAATGCTGCCCAAATAAATTAGTAGCTAAGTATGTGTTATATTTCCTAAGTTATGGAAATTAAAAATGCTTCCTCCTCAATAACCCCTTCTGGATCTCCCCTTAACCCTTAACCGGTCGAGGTCATTTTGATGTCATGACGTCAAGTGGTCAGGCTAAATAAAGGCTAAAGTGAAATATTTTGTATGCCTATTTCAATCGACTACTGCCGGATAATTATAAGTGATAGACTCTTGACACCAATAAAAAAGTTGAAGGGGATAAGTTGATCTATAATTTGCAAATCTTTCAAAATCATTTTCATGAAAAATATCGTCTTCAGAATCGGTGTCATCGATATAATCCGAGTCGGGATCCTTCATTAGCGTTTCAACCACGCTTAATTTAAGCGTAATCGTTACATTACGTTTTTTGTCAAAAAAAGTTGAACAAAGACATGTTTTTCTCAATGCCCTTAACAAGACAAGTTCCTGTCTGACACGCATGCGTGGTCATATCAATTAAATACGAAACTAAATACTCAAATGCGGCTTATAAAAAAGGTTCTTGCTGTGGTCTACTTTAGCTGTATAACGTTGTGGTGATTATAGTCGACAATGACCAGTTAAGGGTTAAATATAATAAGAAGACCATGATTTATGGTATGCTATGATCAACAGTTTTAAATGCTGTTCAAGTTAGAATGCTGTAAGTTTTTGAGCTGTTTTACTAGGTGTCATCCCATGTGATGATAGAAACGCAGTTCTCTCCCTTCTCCTCTCCAGTTTTTCCCATCTATTTTCTTCTAATGCTTTCTGGAATACAAAATCAATAAATTGTTCAGAAATTAAAATAGTGCCATATCAATATGGGACTAACAAGAAATGTTAAATGTTTATTTCATTAATTTGCATGCAAGCAGGGTGATTTTTTAGTGGGAGGTATCCAGCGAACTTAGAGAATACCCACATGGTAAGGCAGAGAGAGAGAGAAATGGGATTTGACGTCCACTCGACACAAAAACTAGGTCATTTCGGGACTTACATATGGTTTAATTTAATTTCAATTATTCGCTTGCGCGTAGGGCTCTTTAGCAGTGGGAGGAAACCGGAGGGCCTGGAGAAAACCCAAGAGGTTGGACAGGCGACCCTACTCCTTGTCACGTACAACCGGGATTCGAAACCATGCCAGTTGACTCAATGACAGACTTTATGATACAGCGCACGCACGCTAACCATTCAGCCATCCAACCCGCCTGGTAAGGCAGACTGCCCTACATCATATCACGTACAAATGTCAGATGAATACAAAATGAAATGAAATGGGTTTAACGTCCTACTGTTCTGCTCCGACTGGGCTAATGAAGACAGGCATAAGCCATACAGTGTGCTTTGAGGTAAATTTTGCCCGGACAGCAGCACTACGGCTACTCTTATATCAAATTCCAACTGCCAAGGGTCCTTTTTATGTGCACCTCGATTTTTCATTCCATCCGAATGACTAGACACCTGTCCTTGTCAAGCCCTTCGTCTTGCAAAACGGACACGGGGAAACCACGGCCGAGAATCCTGAAGAAATTTCTTGGCCAACACCATCAGATGAAGACAGACTTGTAATCAATGAAATGAAATGAGGTTTAACCACTGACTTTTCGGCACCAATTAGACTAAAGAAAATGGGGACATAAGCAACATTTTGCACGGATGGCTGAATTTTGAATTTCAACAGTCAATGATTTTTTTAAATGCAGACCGAATACACAAATGGACCTTCTTTTTTTTTGGCCCATTTGAACAACTAGATGCTTTTTTCCTCCCAACCTCCCAACCGAGGAACTCTCTCATACAACAAAGGAGTTATTTGTTAGTGAGCACTTATAACCAATGAACAAACTACATATAGGGTTATTAAAATCTTACCTCCAGTTAAATAGAATCCATTGTATAATTAATATGCCTGTAGTCTAATTGCACATATCATTTTCTAGTTGATTCAAACTTGTAATGTTTGGTCTTTGATCTATATTACTGCAATAAACTTATTCAATTCTATTCTATTCTATGCCTGTAGTCTGTTATTTTTGTTTTTATCTTTCAGGTCCTAGTAAAATCTCTTGAAATTTTTAAAGCCTTATCTTTTAAAATATTTTATCTGTTTAGTGTTATTTTTGTTCAAAATTGAAAAACCAAAATATTGATATTATTTTACGAGCCTTAAATTTTGTCCATGGATGATATCTTTCCATGTTTTTACCTGTTTGTAGGCTAATAGGCACTTTCAGGCATGCAGAAACATGATGATAAATGTATGAAAATGGTTACCTTAGGCACGAAAAATCACATCAAATTAACAATATATTCTGAAACTTTTGGTCATAAAAAAGATTTCCTTTTTAATATTATCCGTGCAACCTGTGATATATTCAATGTGAATAAAATTTTATTAGATTGGTGATCAATGGTTTCAGTATAAATCTCCCATGTATAAGCCTTTAGTTGATAATTTTCGTTGTTCAAACTCAAACGCTTGAAATGATCGCGCTTTGCTTTGATTGTAACACATGGTAGTCCAACTTTATCTACCACAAAAGGCTTTCATTGCTATCATTCAATTAACAATACAAGTAAATAGGTTGCATTTTCAAGAGAGAACTTTTATGTACTTAGATGATTTGTACTTTCAAGAGAGAACTTTTATGTACTTAGATGATCTGTACTTTCAAGAGAGAACTTTTATGTACTTAGATCTGTGTATAGTAGGAACCCTTGTGATTAACCGTTTATACAGAACAATCTATTTTATTTTTATAACATACATTTACGTAACATGTGCTTGTAAATATTGACGTAAATAAAAAAGTAAATAGGTTGCATTTTCAAGAGAGAACTCTTTTATTTGTTAGAATATTTATTTGTACAATGAATTTACCGGTAACCGGGGATGATTTCAAACACATAAGTTAGTTTTTAATAACCATAATAAAGTGGTTTGTTCATAAAGACAAAAGAGAGATTATTATTTTCGATGGCTCACTCAGTACATACTTTCTGTGATATAAGTGTTCTCGTTCGTGCCGCTGATTGTGGACTGGCTTTAATTCGATTGTTTCCTTGTTCCCGTAATCTTGCAGATTTTTTCTCTTCCAGTTTCCTCTGTAATTCGGTTAATTTTTCATCTTTTATTTCAATTTTCTTATCTTTGTTTTTCTTCCTTTCTTCAAATCTTTAAATAAAACAAGCATACAGGTACTAGGGATGAAAAGCTAACATCACCAACTTTAAACAAAAATATTGAAAAAGCGGTGTTGCAGAGCTCAGAGGGCAGATGTGACATCCACTCAAGGAGAAAAATTATCGTAATTAACTTTGTTGTACAAGCTGACTTACTTACTTAATTTGAATAAAAGCTCTATTCTGACATCTAAAATATCTTCATTTCTCAATTCTAGATCCTATACTTGAGTTTTGAGAGGGGGGGGGGAGGTCGCGGACGGGACATATTCGCTAAAAGCAGAATGATGAAGACAGTGATACAGTGTGCTTTGAGGGAAATTTTGCCCAGACTCCATTGAAATTCAACTTTTCATGGTTCTTTTACATGCACATTTTTCATATTTAATTCCCGTACGGTATTCAAATTTATGTCGATAATATTCCTAAAAAATTACATGACATCGTAATACCATAGAATGAAAGCGTGCCGACTACTGCCCATCCGTACCGGTTTCAAATTCCCCCAAAATTACCGTATTTTTCGGGTCATAAGTCGATACATTTTTCAGCAAAGTCCGGCATTCATCTTATGCTCCGTTTATAATATACGGATTTATATACGGAAGGTAAAAAAAATGACATCCCGAAATTTATTTGGCAGTAAACTGTAGTAAACGTCGCTCTAACAGAACGAGCGAGTGACACCAACTGCTAAATAATCTCATTCGACTCTAAGCACGCGCTATTGTCTAAAATCAATTACTGTAACTACTTACGTTATTCCAATCGAAATATTCGTCAACATTTCTTAGCGTGTTTATGTATTTATTTAAAAACATAAACCCCATTCAAAATATGATCATAAATCCGACAATATGCCATCAAAATAGAATCTTTTCTGCTGACATCAGACGTATTACATTCGGCACGTTTACACCTCTTAATTCCACGTGTCTTGCGGGATTTGTACTTTCATTTTGCGTTTGTGTGAAATAGCTTTATTTAACTTCGGCTTCCAGACAAGTTATTGGACGCAATGTATATTGATTTGGGGTGTTATATACTATTAGGATATGTGACATATATGACTAATGTCTACGGCCGACATCAAGGAGATTAAAACGTGAGACAAAGGAGAAATCACAGGTTAATCACATAGATTAAGTTTATTGGATTGATATATAGTTCGACAAAGAGAAGCAATGACATCTGTTCAGGATTGAATTGATGAATTGTCCGACAAAGAATTAAGTCAGCCAATCAAGGCAGATTAAGTAGTAAATCAAGGTAGGTGTATTGACGGCATAAAACGATAAATACGTTGATCACTTAATTACCTAATCAATCCAGCCTATTATCAACGATAATCGGGTTGAGTGGTAGTTATGCACTCAGTATACTATATTAATTTTGGAATTTTGAATATTATTTATCATGTCTTGATGTCCGATTGGGCATATTCCTGGTCGGACAATTTAGGATGTTTGGAAAATAGCGTCGGACATGTCCAGAATATACAAGCAAAATCCCATCACTGGTTCCATATATCCTTATCGTTGTTAAAACTGTATATCGACGTATCAGGATTAAATTCCAATTCAACGACAAAAACTCATTTTTGTCAACACACCAGTTTGTAATGAATGTCCAGGGAAACAATGCTGTAAGGTAAACAATGAGGTCACGTAGGACCACCTGCTCTATGGTGTCATCTATAAATTATGCCCCCTTATCTCTAGCGAGGACGCCCATTGAGCATACACCATATTCACTGATCAACTTACCTGATAGCAGCTGACTTAGTTTGTTCTGTTCTATGTTTTGAAATGGTTTCAAGAGTATCTAGTAATAACTGATCCTTGGCCTGTAAATACAAACAAATAAATATAGTATTTCTTCTTGTCTTTATTTCATAGTACTATAGAATGTTTATTTTACTTAAAATCTATCACTGTCCACAAACCTAACCTCCAGGGATCACTGTCCACAAACCTAACCTCCAGGGATCACTGTCCACAAACCTAACCTCCAGGGATCACTGTCCACAAACCTAACCTCCAGGGATCACTGTCCACAAACCTAACCTCCAGGGATCACTGTCCACGGACCTAACCTCCAGGGATCACTGTCCACAAACCTAACCTCCAGGGATCACTGTCCACGGACCTAACCTCCAGGGATCACTGTCCACAAACCTAACCTCCAGGGATCACTGACCACAAACCTAACCTCCAGGGATCACTGACCACAAACCTAACCTCCAGGGATCACTGTTCACGAACCTAACCTTTAGGGATCACTGTAGACAAACCTAACCTCCAAGGGATCACTGTCCACAAACCTAACCACGGTCCTGATCTCCTGAATCCATGGAATCCCCTATCACACAGCTCTGGTTACTCTATCAATCAACTCTACTGACCAACTCTAGTATGCAGATGGATAAAAAGCAAATAATAATAGATCTGCTCAACAGAGTTTGGTAGGTACTGGATTTCACCAAAAGTCTCTTTTTAGAGGAATCATTTGATCAGAAGTAAATTATTCTGTCAGATATGAAATGAAATGGAGAGAGAGAGAAATGGGGTCCACTTGACACAAACTAGGTCATTTCGGGACTAACATATGGTTCAATTTGACTTCAACAATTCACTTGGGCGTAGGGGTCTTTTTAGCTGTGGGAGGAAACCGGAGGACCGGAGAAAACCCACGAGGTTGGACAGGGAAGTGAAATGGGGTTTATAAAGTCTTACTATTTGATATGAATAAAGGATATAGAAAACCCAGGGAGATGGACAGGGAAATGAAATGGGGTTTGATATCCGACTATCAGATATGATTAAAGGATTGTTCACCTGTTTTGATGCTAATATCTCATCTCTTTTTAATTCCTCTTCCTCTTTCTCTGCTGTTTTCATTAAACACAATCGTTCACGTAGCTAAAATATATCATAACATAACATGTACATACATCATATCTTTTGAGAAATGTTGAGAGAGGAAATAGGGAACCAAAAAAGATACCATTACTAACCGATGCCTTGCTCTGACAGTCCTATAACAAGAATTCTTCAGGCCCCAACCTCAATTTATACATCTCTACATTAACAGAAGCAATAATTACTGGAATCAGATCGCTATAAAGAATGGCTTCTAACAAGATGATGCTGTTCTGTATAATATATATGGTTCTTACAGTACACAGATATAGTCATGGGTCCCCCATTGTTTTAATAAATAAATGAAATGAAATGAAATAGCGTTTAACGTCCTACTGTTCTGCGCCGACTGGGCTTATGAAGACAGGCATACACCATACAATGTGCTATGAGATGAGGGAAATTTTGCCAGGCTACCGGTGCTCTGGCCTACTCTTATATCGAATTCAAACTTCCAAGGGGTCTTACATGCGCATGCCAACCATTGTTGTAATAAAGTCTCATAATCCATGAAAAACTATTTTGTTGACATTATATAAAGAGAGCGATTGTACTCACACACCTTGGATCAAATCTGGGCAACCTTGACTTTCTACATATGATGAATTCATCCAACTGACTGCATAACACCAAATGTTCACTTGCTTGTTTTAAAGCCCAGGTCAAATTCGATAAAATTAAAATTATAATAAAATATTATCTTACCTCAGCTATAGACATTTCACTGAGTAGACCTACTCCAGCTGTTGATGTCAGATCTACGAATTTAAATCTAATAACAGGAACTGCTTCCATTGCTCGTATCTCGCTGATCAACTCCATCTTCCTTCTCATGTCTTCTTCTGCCTAGAAACATAAAAATATATATATATAATACATAATATATATAATACATATACATATAATACATAATATATATAATACATATACATAATATATATATAATACATAATATATACAATACATAATATATATAATACATATACATAATATATAAAAGATATATATATAAATAAAAAATACATAAATCTTATGTATACATAATATATACATAGAAACTTTAAACTTAAAATTCAACACTATCGTCAGGCGTCCCTCCAATAATTAGACCAACATCTCTGGATGACCTCAACGATTTTGTTAAAATCCCTGACATTTCTAATGGCAATGATTAAATGATTGTCTAATTAAAGGAGCTACATCCCTATTCTTTGCCACCTAGAAATGGATACAAATGGGTCGAAACGCATATAATAATGTAATATGAATGTATATAAACTGATTTACATTCAATCGTTTCTGTTTTTACTGTAATTTGGCGAAATAAGTGAATACTCCAAATTGAATGGCAGTCTTTGGTATCTGGTATTCCAGTCTACAACAGTAGTATTCTCCTGTGGAGTATGTTTAGCCTCATTCATTAAGTCGCTTCATTACAAATGGCGCTCAAAAGAATTCTGACACGCAATTTGTGTGCCAATTCTAAAACTTTTATTTTGTCTTAAATATTGGATATCAGAAGCCCATCTTTTTATCGTAAGATAACAACATCAATATTGATTTAAATTGACCAATAAATCGTGTTTGCAATGTCGAAGACTGTGGATGATAATGAGTTAGAGACCTGCCTCCATTAACAGTTGACGAAAGTAATCTTGTTCTCTGAAAGATTCCACACTCTATAGATGATTGTCTAGCTAATGCTAGGTTCCCAAAGTCGTGCGATACGTTAGAATAGGACTGTTCCTATTGAGTCGACGATCTGGTATATGCAGATCCGTTCAAATAAGTTTCAATACGATCAACACGATTGCTACGACTGACCTCAATGTATGATAAGACCTGATAGGATCACCACGATTACTCCACGATTAAAACCATGAAGAATTACACTTGACCAAAATCAATTTGAAAATAGCACACAATAATTATTTTCCTGTTTCCAATCCAATATGAAAAACATCTTCTACCCTCCGTTAAATTCAAACTGTCATGTCATTTTTCATTAAATATAAACACGACACACATTGTTGCCGTCCGTTTAGTGTTACTAGTAGAGTTAGGAATTTGCTTGAAAATATTTGAAAGTGTTACCTTTTCTAAAGCTAGTTTCATTAGTTCTCGACTTTCTTCATTTACTTCTTGAACTAAAATCATATACAAATAACTAGATAAGAATAACACATGACACAATTATATGGAATACAAGTTACTTCTTGGGGTTTATTTCTGGCGACGTTTCGACGAGGGTTCTCCCGTCTTCATCAAGCAAAGAATGACACCCATAGTACAATGAAGATATATAAACTAAATATGGAACAAATAAAAACATTTAAACATACATTATGCAAGAGCTAAATCTGCCTATTGCAGGTCTTTCTTAGGATCTGAAATGTTATCTAAATTATTTATTACACATTAATTCTAGCCTGCAATATTTATTGGATTATGGTCCGATTTGCTGCACAATTTTCATTCCTGATTTAATCATGAAATGGATAATCGAGACTAGGTTTTTTTTGTCGTACCAACTTTAGCATTGATGATCGAGGCTAGGCCGAAATTTCAATTGCTTAATTCTCGGTTCATCGTGGAACTATTTGACTGAAATTTCCAGCAAATTAAACTGCAAGCTCTTTATCTAATCTCCCATAATGTATCTTTAATGTACAATAAGAGACAATAGTTTGAAACCATCAGGAGGGGGGTGGGGAGTTATGAGGGTTGGGTTTATACAAAGAAAACAAGATAATAGAGGAGAGAGACAGAAATGGGGCTTAACGTCCATCCAACACAAACTAGGTCATTTAGGCACTGAAATATGGTTCAATTTATTTCAAAAATTCGCTTGTGTGTAGGTTTATTGGGGGGGGGGGGGGGGAGGCACGTCACTGAAACTTTTGCCTTTGGCCACGACATAGGCTTGTAATGGCCCTGATCAAGGGTCAAGGGATCTTTAATGTGCTACTAACTGAGTACATATAAACTGTGTTTTTATCCTATCTGTATGGTTAGTCATTTTCCCTTGCCTGTCGTTATATCCAACACCAACAAATAAAATAATAAAATATTTTACCTATAGACTGTTTGTATTCTTGTAGTCATAATAAAATATATTACCTATAGACTGTATTCTTGTAGTCATAATAAAATATTTTACCTACAGACTGTTTGTATTCTTGTAGTTTTAATAAAATATTTTACCTATAGACTGTTTGTATTCTTGTAGTTTTAATAAAATATTTTACCTATAGACTGTTTGTATTCTTGTAGTTTTAATAAAATATTTTACCTATAGACTGTTTGTATTCTTGTAGTTTTTTCATAGAAGTTTTTGTATTTTTGTGACCTTGCATTGTCTGCTCGACCAGATGCCTACAAATAAAACATGTACCAGTGAGGATATATGTAAAAACTATACAAAATACTTACAGGAAACATACAGTCGTTTCCTCACACTTTTACAGCTTCAAGATACAGTCTCACTAATGAAAGCTTCCCACTATCACGATTCACACTACGATTGAAATCATGGTTTTAATCGTGGAGTAATTGTGGTGATCCTATCAGTCAGTCAGTGCTGATCGTATCGACACGTATCTGAACGTATCTGCATGTACCAGATCGTTGACTCAATAGAGACAATCCTATCGTAACGCATCGCAAGAAGCGGGAACCTAACATAAATTATCTATTGGGTAGCTATTTCTATTAAAAGTATTGAGGTCATATATTGCAGTCATAGCAATTGTGTTGATCCTATAAAAACGTATCCGAACGTACTCAATAGAGACAATCCTATCGTAAAGCATCGCAAGAAGGGGGAACCTAACATAAATTATCTATCGGGTAGTTATTTCCATTAAAAATATGCAAATTTTAGGTAAAGATGGAAAAGAGAAACATCCAATCCTAAAAAAAACGCCCATGGAGTGCGAACAAGACAAAAATGTGAGGTTATCCCTAAAAGACAGTCTATTTGCTCTGGTGACTAAGGAGCACTTCTTTAAACCATGTCCAGTGAACTCTGCCATTAAAAGATCAGATAAAGATTATTTACCAAACTCAAGTGGTTATTATTTATTAAAACCGTGAAGAATTAAAATAATTCACCTCATTTCCTGTTCCTCTTTAAATCGTCTTTCTAAATATTCCTGCATTATCTGTTGTGTCTGAAATAAATGAAATGGGGTTTAACATCCACTCAACACGAACTGGGTCATTTCCGGACTAACACATCACTCAATTTTAATTTCAATAATTTTCTTGTGCATAGGGGTCTTTTAGCAGTGGGAGGAAACTGGAAGAACCAGAGAAAATCCACGAGATTGGACAGGCGACCCTTCTCCTTGGCATGTACAACTGGGGAATTAATTTTTCAAGAATGTAATGAATGAAATGGGTTTAATGTCTTACTCTTCTGCACCAACCGGGCAACTGAAGACAACATATATTGTGTTATCGGGTTAAAGTTTGCAATTCTTAAAAATGAAACAGGGTTTAACGTCCTACTTTTCTGCTAAGACTGGGCTAATGAAAACGGGCATATGCCATACAGTGTGCTATGAGGGTACTTTTGCCTGGACAGCAGTGCTACTGTCTACTCTTATATTGAATTCCAACTGCCAAGGGATCTTTTATGTGCAATTCAATGTGTACATGGGACCTTGGCTTTTCATCCCATCAGAATAACTAGACAGCTGTCTTTGTCAGGCCCTTGCTGTCCTGCAGCACTGACAAGGGGAAACCTGATGAACTTTCTTGTCTAAGACTGGGATCGAACCTGCGACCTCACTGACTAGCGAGCCAACTTCTTACTCACTTAGCCACCGTGGCTCCCACTGAATTAAAACAGTATGATATAATGTATTAAGAGATACTTTGCCGCTTCTTTTTCATTCATAGGAAACATTTATTGTGCCCAACTGCTAAATGCCACTCAAGCATTATAATTGACAAATTGACAACATTGTTAAAGAGAGAGAGAGAGAGAAATGGGGTTTAACATCCAATTGACACAAACTAGGTCATTTCGGGACTAACATATGGTTTAATTTTTTTTATTTCAATAATTCGCTTGCGCGTAGGGGTCTTTAGCAGAGGGAGGAAAAGGGAGGACCCGTAGAAAACCCACGAGGTTGGACAGGCGACCCTACTCCTTGTCACGTACAACCGGGGAATCGAAACCCCGCCAGTTGACTCAATGACAGACCGTATGATACAGCGCGTGCGTGCTAACCATTTGGCCATCGAACCCCCCCCCCCCCAACATTGTTAAAACTTATTTGGCTAAAGTTAGTGAAAGTTATCCGAAGAACTATACCTCTTCTTTCATTTCTAGAACCCTTTGTTGGTTTTCTTTCGTTAAGTTTTGTCTGGCAATAATGGCTTCTTCATAGCTTAATTTTCCTGCAAAGCGCCGTCTTTCGATTTCTGCTAGCTGCACCTCCAGATCTCTCTGTCTCATCTCCGACTGCCATTTTAAAAATGGAGTTGTATCTTTGGCACCAGCTTCTAAATTCTCTAATCTTTAAAATCAAATTAAAGTTCAATTAATTTACAAGAACAATGAATTTAATTGTACATTATTAAAGGGGCATTATGGAAGATTGGATAAAGAGCTGACAGTTCTCTCCATAATAATTAAAAAACAGATAATGAAAAGAGAATATGCTGAAAATTCCAGTCAAATTACTTCATTCTGAGCCTAGATATTAGGATACAATTATAGGCTAGCCTTGATTGTCATTACTACCGTTGTTATGATATTAAAATCTACTTATATCGCAGCCATCCAATTGCATTGAGAGTTGAGTATGATCTTGGTAAATTAATTAATGTCTAATTGATAATTTATATAACATTTCAGGCCTAAAGAAAAACCCGCAATAGGTTATTCAATGGCTGTATTCAATGATATTTGCTTGTATTTGCATGTAGTTATAGAATAAATAACATTACTCTATGATGCTAAATAATTTCACATTCAAAAGGTAATTCAAATTAAAATGATTTAAATAAAAATATTTACTTTTTAATGACTTCTGCTTCTCTTCTCTGATATAACAAACCTTCTCGTAAAATGGTAGCTGTGTTTAGTTTTACAGCTTTTTCTTTGATCTACAACATAAACAGGGATGTAATTCACTGACTTTCTGAAGGCAGACAATGTTAACATTTGAAACGATTTGATAGTAATATTAAAATGACATATCAGTAATGCTAAAAATAATTTACGGTGGGTTTTTGAAACCAGTACAAAAATCAAAATTCTAATGGTCAACAAATACATATCAATGGAGAATAAAATAAAATCTTAAAAAGCTTTCATTTTATGTAAACTTGCCATCAGCATATGTTTGTAAGAATCCCTGACTGGACTTCAGTGATACAGTTGAGGTAGGAAGGAAAGTAATACTCTGAATACCAAAGCAAGAAACTTGACACAACTGTATCCAAAGTTTAGAGGGAGAGAAAGAGAAATGGTTACATTTATCATCTGATACATAAAATGTAACCAGTCTGTTGGTTAAATAAAGATATCTATATATTCTAGGTATCCCCAATAGTATCGCTCCGTTCTACTTCACTAACCTCTGGGTCCATCCACGGGGGAGACACATTGTCAAATTATCCACCCTTGATACTTCTGCTATTTCTATCGACCAATTCGAATTGGCGAAGGAAAGTAACTCACATTTTATTGCAACTAACATTATTGTGGTAAACGTAAACAATGACTTTAAACTGGTATGTAAACTGTCTATTGATTGGTTCGTAGAATCAAGCTACGATGAAGGGCAGATAATTTGAATTAGTGAAAAACCAGTGAATGGACCTAAAGGTTAGTGGAGTAAAACAGAATGATGCTACTGGGGATACCAAGAATGATAACTATACGGATCTACTACAATACTTACAGGAGGTGGTGCACGATTGATCTTATTTTTATCAAAATCTAATTTGGCATCTTGCTCTGCCATTATATTAGACATTATTTCTTTAGTTTTTTCTGACTTCTCTGTATTAGCACAGGCAAACTGCATTCTTGAGGCTTCCATTAAATGTTCCTAGAAGAAGAAGAATAAAACACTGAATTCTGTATTTGCACTAATAATCATTAAGTTTGAAAAAAAAGAGTTACTCCCCTTTAACTATCTGGAATCTGTTTCATGTTACTACTCTTCTTTGCCTAAGAATTTGTCTAACTTTTTTTACAGATTGGAAATAAAATATTGAATGTCAACTCAAACTGTATATAAGTATAAGACTCCTGGAGACTGAGGCGTGGCTTTCTCTCAACTGATACAGGGAAAATTTCACTCTGTTTTACAGAGGATTACCGAAGTCTTCTATAATAACTATGTAAAAGAAATGAAATGAAATGGGGTTTAACGTCCTACTGTTCTGGGCTAATGAAGACGGGCATACGCCATACAAATTCCAACTGCCAGGGGATCTTTTACGTGCATTCCAATATGTACACAGGAACTCGTTTTTTCGTCTCAGCCGAAGGACTAGACAGCTGTCCTTGTCAGGCCCTCCGTTCTGCACCACTGACAAGGGGAAACCACTATGTAAAAGATGACTGCTTTCAACATATGACGTCACATCATGTGGGGTGAATCATTGGCTCAATGGCGCGTGGTTCATTTAAGATGTTACTGGTCTGGGCAGAATGGTGATGTTTTCTCATTTTGCATACCCATTTACACTAAATAAGACATAATTTTTTACCTACATATACTTCAAACACCTTTATTTCTAATGTTTAAAAAGGACATATTTTTTTACCTACATATACTTCAAATACCTTTATTTTTCTAATGCTTAAAAAAAATGTTCTAGAATTTAATTTGCAGAAGGAAAAAAGTTTATATTGGTGGCTCATTAAGCCACACCGATGTCATCGCTATCAGTGATGGTAGCAGCCGAACGAATATTCACTGCTGATCAGTGTGGGAGAATTCTGCTAGGGCAGCGGAAAATATTAAGTAAAGGCTTTTTTCTTGATCATATTTGCCAATCAAGTATTTCAAAGAATTTAGCCACAGTACACACAGTTAATCTTGTAGTTTTTATGTGAGAGAGAGAAATGCAGTTTAACTCCACTCAACACAAACTAGGTCATTTTGGGACTAATATATATGGTATGATTTTATTCATGAGAACCATGTTTTAAAATTTATTACGTATGAATTTGAATATCTTGTTGACATATGATTTTTAATTGTGGTCTGAAAACGCCTGATTAAATAGTAAGAGTTATGCCCCTTTATTTTCGCGAAAAAAAATGTCCAACAAAAAAAAATTTGAAATCCCATCACTGCTTTAAATACTTTTCTTATAAAAATGAGAAGTATATCGTCATTTATAAAGTGTGTTAATACTGAAGAATAGAAACAGTTTCTAATTACACGGATAACCAATTAAATGTACTTGGGGTTAGTGGAATGGAATGGAATGGAATGGAATGGAATGAGATCACTGGGGATACCGAGGATGGCGATCTTAAAGATACATTATGTAAGATTTAGATAAAGAGCTAGCCATTCTTGCTTTAATAGTTCAAAAATAGATAATGTAAAATGAATAATTTGAAAATTTCATTCAAATTACTCAATTGGCGAGCGAAGATATTAGCCTTTGAAGGTTTGACAAGATGTGTGCAATAATTTCAACCACCGTACTGGTTGTTCGAAGCGAAGTCTCGCTCCTCCATTTTTAGCTTAAATCAAAATATGGCTGAACTGTTCTAATCTATTTAATATCGGAGAAATCCGAACCCATCGAGAGTTGATTATGGCCTGGATAAGTTAATTAATGTCTAATTAATAATTTAGAAAACATTCCAGGCCTAAAGAAAGACAGGCAATGGGCAAATTTAGCTCTTGCATAATGTATGTTTAAATCTACTTGGAGAAATAGTAACTGGATCTCAATACGAGTAATGTCATGGGTTCTAGCTTCTAAATTCAAATACGCCATAAAAAGTAAAGAAAATGGCATATCTATGACATTTGAGTTTTCAACATTGTAAGTTATCTAAATGACTTTTTACTTCAAAGCTTAAAGCCAAAACCTTGAAATAAACAAAATTTGGTATTTTTAGATGATATTTAGTCTTGCTTTGTTTGTGTCAGTAATTTTCAATGTTTTTTTTTCATAACACCAAAGCTTATTATCTTGGTTAGGTTTTTAAGATAATTGTCTTAAGTCACATACCAACTGTGTCGTGTCGCATTGAACTCGAGCTGGTCACAAATGTCAAAGTTATTTATACTCTAACTTTGTATTAAAGATACATTATGTAAGATTTAAATAAAAAGCTGATCTTGCTATAATAGCTCAAAAATAGATAACGTAAAATGAATATATTGAAAATTTCATTCAAATTACTTCATCCTTAGCCATGTTATCACTGTTTGTAGTTTTGAATGAATGTCAAAGAAATTAATGCTTACACATACATTATGCAAGAGCTAAATCTGTCTATTGCAGGTCTTTCTTTAGGCCTGAAATGTTATCTCAATTATCAATTAAACATTAATTAACCTATCCAGACCATAATCAACTCTAGATGGCATCGCTAGCCTGCGATCTTTAGTGGATTATGAGCCGATTTACTGCATAACTTTCCTTCACGATTTAATGATTAAATGGTTAATCGAGACTATGTTGTTTATCGTACTGACTTTAGTAATGATGATCGAGGCTAGGCGGAAATTTCAATCGCTTAATTCTCGGTTCATAGTGGATCAATTTGAATGAAATTTTCAGCAAATTGCCTTTACATTATCTAGTTTTTAACTATTATAGTGAGAACTGCCAACTCGTTATCGAATCTCCCATACTGTATCTTTAATACACAAGATTAAATGATACCCGGGTTACAGTGTAGACTGATACAAAGTTTATCTCTTTATTTCGAGTGAATACTATATTATTCAGGCCTGGGACTGGACTGTGCAGTGGATGCTTACGACTGCCCTCCAGATCCATTCCTTTCATTATATATAAGTGTGTTGCTTATTTCTTGCAATGTTTTTATTATTGTGTGTCTTGTCCACAGGTTTTGTTTTATTATGGGTTTTGTTTACGACTGGGGCGATTCTCCTACACTTATTATTAGCAGATGATAAAATGAGGCACTAGCAGTGGACGCTTATGACTAGTCCCCAGATTAATTCACTTGATTTTATATTAATTGTTTATTGCTTACAATGTCTGTGTAGTATGTGTCTTGTCCAGAGGTTTGTCTTATCGGTTTTATTTGAATGTTATGTGGTCTACCCTGCACTTACTATATAGTTTTATTTTCAATCGGCCAGGATTGATCACTGAATCGACACACTTACAGTCGCATTTTGACGCTATGTGGACCACGCCTTTAAATTTTTACGAATAAGGACCAAAGTATAGATTACCTCGGCCTTCCTTCGATTAGCCTCTTTTACTAGATTCAATGTATCTAATTCTGATGGTGTTCTGTAGATGTGTTTTGGTACAGGTTTATGAGCAGCTACTTTTGGAATCTGAAAAAAAATAAATATATTTTTTATTTAATCTAAAATTGGTGAAGTGAGGCTAAATTTCGAACAACCAGTGCGGTGGTTGTGCAATTAATGCACACATCTTGTCAAACCTTCAAAAGCTAATATCTTTGCTCACAATGGAGCAATTTTAATTTAATTTTTTCTATAAATCAATTTTACATTATCTATTTTCAAACTATTAAAGCAAGAATGGCTAGCTCTTGATATAAATCTTACATAATGTATCTTTAATTAAAAAAATAAATAATCAAGCCATGGAAAATTTGATATTTTCCGAAAAAAGGTAATGACGTGCAAAGACTTTATATAAATTTAATGTTTCTACTTACTACTTCTGGTAAAGGTACTTGTCTTGCACGTGGTTGGGTGATATTAAATGGTTTCACTTCTGTAACAAATAAAAAAATAAAAATAGTAAAACAAAAAACATGTATGTAAATTAAACAATTGTGTGTGTGTTTTTTGGGGTACAAAAACCAAATGGTATACAGGTTCCTGGGTCACATAAAATATCAGACAGTGAATGGGGCAGGATGTAAATTGAATAATCTCAGCGATTAACTAATTGGTTACATTTTGTATATTCAATTTAGACCTAAGTGCAAATATCATCAAGAAAAGCATTGCCCTTTCTAACGATTGAGTGGTTTCACTTCTGCAACAAATCAAATTAATAATACTTTTAGAATGAAAGATTTGGGTTGATACATAGCTTGCAGTGCTTCTTAACGCCAACTGAATCAAACCCCAGTACATGTAGACTGTGATTGAAGCACCACAACTGACATCCAATGATACCAGTAATTCAAAATGGAAGCCAGTTAACATATTTTATATTCACATAAAAACAATAACATGTATTAAGATCCTGATGTAAGAAGTCTTATTTCATCAAATATAATCCAGATCAAATAAATAATACTGTCAAATTAACAATCAGTATAAACTACAGAAGCATTCAGTTTCTTGTTTGGGAGCCACGGTGGCTAAGTGGGTAAAACGCTGGCTCGCTAGCCTGGAGGACACGTGTTCAATCCCTGCATTGGCTGAGAGAGTTTATCAGGATTTTCCGACGTTGTTTCCCCTTGTCAGTGTCTCGTGTACACATTGGCATGCACGTAAAAAGACCCCTTAACAGTTGGAATTCAATATAAGAGTAGGCCATAGTGCCACTGCCCGTTCAAAATTCCCCTCATAACACACTGTATGGCATATGCCCGTATTCATTAGCCCAGTATAGGAGCAGAACAGTAGGACTTTAAACCCCATTTCATTTCATTTTCTTGCATTAGATAAAAAGCTTGTCGTTCTTGATATAACAGCTCAAAAATAGATAACAAAACTGAATATATTGAAGATTTCAGTCAAATGGCGTTATTTTGAGCAAAGTTATGAATGCTTGAAATTTTGACAAAAATGTAGCCTAAGAAATAGTCTTGATTGTCAAGTACCATTATTACGATAATAAACAAAGTCTTGATTATCCAATTTAAAGTTAAATTATTAAATGACACAAGTGTTCCCATCCATTCAATATCTAAGCCATCCAATGTTCTAGAGAGTTGATTATGGGTTTGTCATGTGAATAAATGTCTAATCAATAATATATATAACATTTCAAGCCGAAAAGATCTACAATAGGCAGTATTTAGTCTTGCATAATGCATAGATTTTTAAGTTTGTTTGGATTTTCAGGCGTGGTTCCCTCTTGTCAGTGGTGCAGGATGGAGGGCCTGGCAAGGGACAACATGTAGTCGTTCGAATATGACGAAAAAACAAGTTCACATAAGAGAACCCTTGGTTGTTTGAAATCCATATAAGAGTAGGCTGTAGTGACGCTGTCCGGGCAAAATTTCACTTGTGACATATGTTTGTCTTCATTAGCCCAATCAGATAAGACGCTGGCTCGCTAGCCTATAGGTCGGTGTTCGATCCCTGCATTGGCCGAGAAAGTTCATCCAGATTTTCCCGCATTGTTCCCCCTTGTCAGTGATGCAGGACGGAGGGCCTGACAAGGACAGCTCTCTAGTTGTTCGGATGGGATGAAAAACCAAGGTCCCATGTACACATTGGTGTGCACGTAAAAGATCTCTTGACAGTCGGAATTCCATGTGAAAGTAGGCCATAGTGCCACTGTCCGGGCAAAATTTCCATCATAGCACACTGTATGGTGTATGTCCGTCTGCCCAGTTTGGAGCAGAACAGTAGGACGTTAAACCCCATTTCATTTCCAATCGGAGCAGAACAGTAGGACATTAAACCCTGATTTAATTTCATTTTTTAAGTTTGTTGTTTAATGTTGTTTAAATGTCATTTATAGAGATTGACAAGAATAAATAGTGAAGAACAGAGAATCCTGGCTATGTAATTGTCATTCTATATTGTTATTTGCATTTATTTTAGCATTAAATTTCACTAGCTATCGTTAAACGTCGTGCTTCTCCAAAGATTTATTTTTATTCGTCTTGAAATTTAATGTCATGTTTCAACGATTTATATCTATCAGTCAGGGATTCAATAAATGTCATAGCTCGCCAAGATGTTTATTTTAATTACAGAGGAATCGAAATGACAAAATAAATATATGCTCGTATCTATTCATTAAAGGAGATGGCTGAATGGTTAGCACGTGCGTGCTGTATCACGTGTCTGTCATTGAGTCAACTGGCGTGGTTTCGATTCCCTGCTTGTACATGAAAAGGTGCAGAGTAGTCTGTCCAACCTTGTGGATTTTCTCCGGGTACTCCGGTTTCCTCCCACTGCTAAAGACCCCTACGCACAAGTGAATTATGGAAATAAAATTGAACCATGTGTTAGTTCCAAAATGACCTAGTTTGTGTCAATAGGACGTTAAACCCCATCTCTCTCTCTCTCTCTCTCTCTCTCTCTCTCTCTCTCTCACCCTTAATAAAAGAATGCATTAGTTTATTCTTGTGGCTGTCATTTTTACTGTTACATGATCTCATTTACATAATGAAAGTAGAGTGAAAGTTTAATATGCAAAATTTCATACAGTGATACACATTTCAGACTGGGTTAATGAAGACAGACATACACCATATAGTGTGCTATGATGGAAATTTTACCTGGACAGTGGCGCCAGGACCTACTCTTACATCAACTTCCAACTGCAAGGGATCTTTTACATGTACACCAATATGTACACAGGACCTCGATTTTTTTGTCCCATCCGAATAACTATACATTGTCCCTTGCCAGGCCCTCCGCCCTGCACCGCTGATAAGGGGGGACCCACTGGAAAATCCACTCCAATGCAGGGATCAAATAGAGTACCTCCAGGTTAACGAGCCAACGTCTTACTCAATGAGACACAGCGGCTTCCAAGATAAGAACAAGTAAATGGTTACCTGTAGTTGGTGTCTGCTTCTTCTTAGCTTTAACTTTATTTTCTATTCTATCTTTCATTTGATTCAACAAGTCTAATAACTCAGGATGCCATCTTTAAAAGTAAACACATAAAATATATATTAAAGATACATTACGGAAGATTAGGTAAAGTGCTGGCAGTTCTCACTATAATAGTTAACCAGTGGCTGGCAGTCAGGATACGCCCACATTTTTTCTTGATTCATGTTTGTTTAATATTAAAGATACATTATGGAAGATTAGATAAAGAGTTGGCAGTTCTCACTATAATAGTTAAAAACTAGATAATGTAAAGGGAATATGCTGAAAATTTCAGTCAAATTGATCCACTCTAAGTCGGGAAAACCTTACTTTAAAATCTTTGTAGCCTTGATTGTCATTGTCACGATAATTAACAAAGTCTTGATTATCCATTCTTGCGGTTAATCATCAACAGACGTTGAACAGCAGATCAGATTCAAATCCAATGAAAATCGGACAAATAATACGGCATCAAGAGTTGATTATAGTCTTTTTACGTTAATAAATGTCTAATTAAAGGTTTATATAACAATTCAGGCCTAAAGAAAGACCTGCAATAGGCAGATTGACCTCTTGTATAATGTATGTTTAACATGGAACCAAAATAAAAATGGTAACATCAATAACATAGTAATCTTTTAGTAAATTGGATAGAGCAATATATTACAACACATACTTATGGAAAAACAGCTATTAAATTATTTGGGCAACATTTCAAAGAATATTCTCTCAAATAAATTAGTAGCTGTTATTCCATAAACATATGATATAGTTTATCAGTAGAGTAGATCATTTATGTATTTTAAAATTACCATCAACATGGAACCAAAAAATAGCACAGTAGGCTACACAGCACAAACATGTATTTCAAAATTCATACTCCCCAAAAACTTAAATTAAAGTAAGGCTTTGAAATTAATTTCATGCAATTTATGTCAAATACTTTAAGAAATCAAATTAATGCCATCTGTAGCACTCTGTATTTGTGACCTAAGGCTGCTATATTATTGGAGTATACAATATATACGGATTTGGTATATATACGGGCATTGCAGTTTTCAGTTATGTTTCCCACCGATTTTGGTACCCTCATTCATATCCGGACAGAATGGATTCAGAAGAAGAGGAAACTCTGGCATGGTTTCTACTTGCGGAGGCGTGAAGCATGGTGGCGCGAAGGTCAGGTTTTGAGTGGGCTCATTCCAATATGGTGGGGGGGGGCAGTTAACTGGAAATCACTGTTCAGGAGAATCTAGAATAGTCTTCCATGATGTGCATCAATGTTTAGAACTTTTGATTCAAACTTTTTACAACACAAATGCCCCATTTTCTACACACCTCATGGAATTTACTCCTCCCTGCAGAAAGTACATGTATACGCCCAAAAAAAACCTGAACATGCACGATACCATGTATACGCGTATAGCGTGCCCCTTTACGTGTATCGTCCAATGTAAACCACTAAGCAAATTCTTGTTCGAACACAAGTATTCGTGTATACCTCTAAACGCATACCGAATAACGTATACCCCTATGTAATGGCAGTCTAAGGTCACAAATTATTACAAAACATATAATATGTTATAATATATACGTTATGTGATAATTAGTGTCTGACAAAGTCTGTGACAGGTGCCTTATATCCAGCCTTGTCTGAAGGAGATCTGTGTAAATATGTATGGAAAGTAATACAACCTGCAGTATCCTAATTTTCTAATACAGTATTTCCATATATGGCAGCTTTCTTGTAATTTTATCATTTAATTAAGACATTATTAATCCGGTAATAACATGACCATTATGTTATCAATATGTTATCAATAACATAAATAAACCAATTACCTGATTAACTGTCATTGATTATTGTTCAGTGGAGTGTTATGTTCGACAATACTACTGATAGGCAGGGTACCTACTCCGTACTATACTATTCAAAAAAAGTAGGGGATATTTGATTTTTAAGTGTTATTAAAGTCACCTAATGAAACTGACGAAGAAACAAATGACAAAATGAAATGAAGTTCACATTCATCGATTTATTCCAAATGATCGTTAGACTAAGTAAGGCACAGACTGACCATTATAAGGGTAAAATGATACCCGGGGTCAAACAGCAAAGTTACCACAGCATCACAACCAAGTCAGTAACGGGTAAATCCTCCTCTGTTTGCCAAACAAGCATTGATCCGACGTGGCATACTCCTAATGATACGTCTAAGGTCATTTTGGTCCAGATTGTCCCATTCCTGTTGCAACGCAGCAGCAAGTTCTTGGACATTGGCAGGACGTTGTTGACGTTGACGTAACCTCTGTCCAAGCATGTCCCAGACATGCTCGATGGGGGAGAGGTCGGGACTCAGTGCTGGCCAAGGTAATGTGGTGATGTTCTGTTGTTGGAGGTAACCTGTAACGATCCTGGCCCTGTGACATCTTGCGTTGTCATCCTGGAAGATGAAACAGCGGCCATGACGTCGTGCGAACGGCACAACATGGACTGCCAAGATGTTGTCCCGGTAGTACTGGCCTGTAACACGCCCTGCAACAACATGTAAAGCCGTTCTTCCAGCAACAGTGATGCCTCCCCACACCATAACAGAACCACCCCCAAATCGATCATGTCTGATGACGTTAACGTCTTGGAAGCGCTCGTTTCGACGACGCCACACCCTCCTACGTCTGTCCAAAAAATCAACAGTGAACCTTGACTCATCTGAAAACATCACATTGCTCCAGCTTCGATTATCCCAGTGTTGACGATCCCTACACCAACGACGTCTTGCCTGAATGTGATGATCTCTCAAACAAGGGATCACGCGAGGACGTCGGGCGCGAAGGTGACCCCTATGCAGTCGATTCCGAATCGTCTGGCCACTCACTCTCACACCAGTGTCTGTTTGAAGACGAGCGCTGATCTGATTTGCTGTGATGACACGATTTCTCAAGGCCAAGGTACGGATAAATCGATCCTGGGCTTGAGTTGTCGCCCTTGGTCGACCTGAGCGTGGTCTGTCCTGTACAGATTGTGTATCACGGTATCTGGACCATAGCCTGCTTATGACAGACTGAGAAACATTCATCGTCCGCGCCACAACCGCCTGTGTTGTGCCGATCTGTAGCATGCCAAGGGCACGTAACCTTTCATTTTGGGTAAGCCGACGCATATCAAAATTTGTTTTCTGGTCACTAAAACAATTAAACTGATGTTTCCACCCTGGAATTCAATGCCACAATGACTGTAACATTCAAAGTCAGAGTCGTGCAAATCTTGGGTTGGACCCCCATGATGATCCCAAGCATCACCTGCATTCCATGCGGTAGCTATTGGTGCGTTTGGGCGTTACATGTAACTGGAAATGTTTCTTCTGTTAGGTTCTATAGTGACTTTTTTCGTAGTCATTTGCATATTTTAGTATTATGCCCCCAAAATCAAATATCCCCTACTTTTTTTGAATAGTATATATGTTATATTATCAGACAACAAAAGTACATATTTAAAGGGGCATTAGGTAAGATTAGATAATGGTTAAAATAGATAATGCCAACAGAAGATGCTGAAAATTTCAGCCAAATTGCTTCACTCTGAACCAAGATATTAACGATTTGATTTTTGTCTAGCCTCGATCATCATTGCTAACATTGGTTCTATAATTAACAAAGTCTCGATTATCCAATTTTACGTTAAATTAACCATCACAAAATCTATTCAAATCCACTAAAGATCGCAGACTAACGATGGCATCGAGTATTGATAATGGCCTGAATCAGTCAAATAAAGACCTGCAATAGACAGATTTAGCTCTTGCATAATGTACGTTTAATACAACGTGATTGGCAATCAGTCACATATATGGACAAACCCATTGAACGTTTAGTTATTTGGGGTCTTGTCCATAAATAACTAACTCAATTCTTGAATAAAATGTTTTGTTAAAATTTCAAAACTTTTAGTATATGGAACTAAAAGCTTTTAAAGAGTGAAACTAAATATTTTTCTTTTTTAAATTAGTCTTTTTCAAGAAGATTTAAGAAGCAAGATTTTAACACAGTTTTCCCGAAGAACAGAAAATCAAAGACATTATTTTCTTGGTTTATGAATCAAAGTACCTGGTACTAATAAAGATTTTATTTTATTCACATATCTAAAGTTTGTCTATATGTACAGATAAGGATATAGTCGAATTAAAGTAAAAATCTAACAGCATTTTATGCAAATCTTTTTTTTTTTTAGTTTGGGTACATATCTTCATGAGCCACGGTGGCTAAGTGAGTGAGACGGCGATGCAGACTTGCTAGCCTGGAAGTGGAGTGTTCGATCCCTGCATTGGCCGAGAAAGTTTTTTTCCAACATGGTTTCCCCTTGTCAGTGGTGCAGGACAGAGGGCCTGAAAAAGCAGGAATGCACGTAAAAATTTCCCATGGCAGTTGAAATTCAATAGAGGAGTAAGCCATAGCTCCGCTGCCTGGGCAAAATTTCCCTCATAGTACACCCGTCTTTAATAGCCCAGTCGAAGCAGAACAGTAGGACATTAAACCCCCATATAATTTCATTTATCTCCAGAAATTCAAAAAAAAAAAAAAAATAAAAAAAGGAATATAAAGTAGGCCTACAAGTTATCTAGAATCTTCGAATAGACTGTCAATTTCTGCATGCAATCTAGGGAGAGAGAGAAATGGGGTTTAACGTCCACTCGACACAAACTAGGTCATTTCGGGACTAACATATGATTTAATTTTATTTCAATAATTCGCTTGCTTGTAGGGGTCTTTAGCAGTGGGAGGAAATCGGAAAACCCGGAGAAAACCCACGAGGTTGGACAGGCGACCCTACTCCTTGTCACGTACAACCGGGGATTCGAAACCACGCCAATTGACTCAATGACAGGGCGTATGATACAGCACGCACGTGCTAACCATTCGGCCACCCAACCCCCCCGCATGCAATCTAGGCCTCTTGACATATATATGACATAATGTATCATAACATGATTAGATAAAATAAGGTCCTAACTCCATTTCATCTACGATAACTGCTATATATCTTAGATATACTATCTATAAACAACCATTTACAATATATAAACTGACTTGCTTGGTTATTGTTTTTACGTTATAATGTAAATGTGAAGTACTAAAAGACAACAAAAAAATGCAGAAATTTCAGGTAAGTTTCAATTGGTTAATAATAATAATAATAATAAGAGAACAATTTTGTTCTATAAACTATAAAACATACTTATGGAAAAACAGCTACTTTTTTAAATCAGTAATTGTTTTCCTATAAGTATGTGTTATAGTTTATTGCTCTATCCAGTTACTAAATGACTCTAAAAGAGAACTTTGTTCTAGTTGAATACAGATTATGTACAGCAGAAATTAAAGTTACAATTTCATATTTTCTAAGAAAGTCAAAACACAATTATTTCTATGTCTTTTGCTCAATAGGTTGTCAACTCACTATTATACGATCATAGGTCTCATTCTCACACTTAAAAATCTTCACACCGGAAATAATAACACAATTACCTCCCAATTACCTCCCTTGTTTTCCTATTCCCACCATGGAATAGCTATCTACAAACATTTGAATTTGAAGTTGAAAATGATATTTTTGCCAATTTCTCAACTGGCAATAGTGAATTATAGGATTAATAGGATTATTCTATAAAAAGGTAGGACTGTTTATAGATACCATCTATTTTAGGGCTTTATTTTAATACATTTTAAAAATATAACTTAAAAATATGAAATTGTAACTTTAAAGATACATTATGTAAGATTTAGATAAAGAGCTGGCCATTCTTGCTATAATAGCTCAAAAACAGATAATGTAAAATGAATAATTTGAAAATTTCATTCAAATTACTCTATTGCGAGCAAAGATATTAGCCTTCGAAGGTTTAATAGGACATGTGCAATAATTTTAACCACCGTACTGGTTGTTCGAAGTTAAGTCTTGCTCCTCCATTTTTAGCTTAAATCAAAATATGGCTGAACTGTTCTAATCCATTTAATATCGGAGAAATCTGATGCCACAGAAAGTTGATTATGGCCTGGATAAGTTGATTAATGTTTAATTAATAATTCAGAAAACATTTCAGGCCTAAAGAAAGATCTGCAATAGATAGATTTAGCTCTTGCATAATGTATGTTTAATTATCAATTATTGTGATTTTACAACTAAAGGTCATGAGCCTACCTATATATATCTCTTGCTAAGAGAAATAACCAAACAAATTGGTCACAAGCCTTCAATTTAATCTCTAATACATTTACTTGATTTGATAGTTCTCTAATTGATTACTCTTTTGTCTGTGGAGTCCATGACAATTTCATAGGTTATGTAGGTTGTTTGTCAATAGTTTGTTTGAGATTCAGTACAAAATAAAATTGCTTACTATTTTGTCTGTGGAGTCCAAGAACTTTTTATAGGTTATGTAAGTTGTTTTTCAAAACTGTGTATTTCAGTACACAATAAAATTGCTTACTATTTTGTCTGTCGAGTCCATGAACTTTTCATAGGTTATGTATGTTTTTTTGTCAACCATTTAGTTTAAGATGTTGTACGTACATCTCTATATTCTGTTAAAAAAACAACTTAAAACACATTTATTTAATCAGGCTTTTAACTGACTCTGTGTACAATAGTTAACATGTCCATAATCTTGTTGTTTATTTATGATTATATTGTCACTTTATAAAGTGCCCCCTGAACATGTTATATGAAAGGGCGCACTATAAATATGTTGTAATAATAATAATAATAATAATATATCAGTACACAATCAAACTGCTTACTATTTGGTCTATGGTGTCCAGGTCATGTAGGAAGTTTGTCAATACTTTATTTGTATTTCAATGCACAATCAAAGGAGTTGGATGGTCGAATGGTTAGCATGTGCATGCTGTATCATAAGGCCTTTAATTGAGTCCATTGGCATGGTTTTCTAATCCCCAGTTGTACGTGACAAGGAATAAACCATATGTTAGTCCCGAAATGACCTAGTTTGTGTTGAGTGGACGTTAAACCCCATTTCTCTCTTTCTCTTTCAATGCACAATCAAAATGGTTGTCAAATAAGTAAAAAGTTTCTATATACCTCATTAAAGGAGACAGAAGAACGGTCTGTACAAAACTATTCTCATAAAGACTGCACCATTTATCTCGAATCCAAGTTAATAAATTTTTCTCATCCAGGAAGAAGTTTAAAAGCTTGTATAAGAAATATAGATATAATTAAAAGATTTCTGTTTTTAAAAAATTGTTACAAGTTCTTTAAAGATTCATTATGTAAGATTGAAATAAAGAGATGTCTGTTCTGGTGAAAAATTAAAATATTGAAAATTTCAGTAAAATTACTTTATTCTGAGCCAAGTTTTAAGTGTTTGAAAAAAATAGCCTTGCCCTTGAGCCTTGATTATCAAGTACCATTTCTGCGATAAAAAATCTAATGCAAGAAAAAATGACATCGTAGATTAAAATCTGTTACCTTGTAAATTCTATTTATATCTTGTGAGTATACAAATTTTCTTAATTGTGAAACTCCAAGTTCATCTAATCTAAACAAGATCAGATAACACAAAACTGAAAATATAAATAAAATACATATTAAAGTATTAATGTTACAAAATATTTCTATATTTTTACAATATTTATTATCAGAAACAAAAAATATATTCATACATCCACAGAATTAAGGAATCATGAAGAACCTGCATAAATGGCCATAAATTTAAACAATCGTGACTTTCTATGAAATGTTTATCATCTATTCTAGCTCTCTAATTATGTTTCTAATAATTAATTTTGTATGTTTATGTCCAGATAAAATAATAAGTTATAATAAATATGACAAATTAAATAATAAATAATGCAACAAACACACAACAAAAAAAGCACTTAAAGGGACAATCCAGATTTTAACAGAGTCTTGGCAATAAAAGTCTGTGTACGTCTGTGTATTTACCTTGTCTTAAAATTTCAGCTCAAAATATTGAGTCGTTTTGATATGAACGTCAAAACCACTTATCCGGACACGTAACCCTTTTCTGGTTACGGGTCAATTGTTTTGTTGGGTGACCCAATGTGCTGTACTTGATAATTTCACCTACACATTATTTTTATAAAATAAAAGTCTGGTTTTATCCAGACATATAATACAGCCTAGGACACCGTTCTCCATTTCTAGATGAAGACTGACGTGTTTAAGTTGTTTGAAAACGTATCATGTATATTGAGTTAATTGCTCGGCCCTATGGTGGAAGAATTTAAGGGCTTTTAGTCTAAATTTAAGCAGTTTTATTCTCCAAAATATAATGGATATTGGGCCCTTAACTATAAATCTATAAACATTATTTTTTCACTATGTTATTCCCCCGACTGACCAAGTTGGCGTCCTTACTGCGCTGCTGCGACTGTAGGCCTACAACGACCAGAAAATGCACAAGGTCGCCCGGAAACGTGAACACAATGCAAGACAATGTCCCCAAAAAATTACAAACAGGTATGATCGCAGAACCTTGGCGTTTGTTTTGAACATGCTCAAAACAAACGCCATGACTCGTCGATCTTTGGCAACCATGGAGACGACAGCACGATTTCTGGCGTTTCCACCATGCTTTTACCAAGTTTATCTTGATCTTGGCGCGATCTGACACCATTTTCCGTAGCAGCACAGTAAGGACGCCACCCCTGTCTGACGGGGTATTACAGAATGGAATGGGGCTCAATATTTTGTCAGCACAAATACTTTGGTCATGATGAGACAAACATATTTTAAATTTTATTTCTATGGTTACATGTGTAATGTGAGACAGAAGAGAATATTGCCCAGGAGGCGGCATGTCAGCTTACTTCTCGTAGATTTTCAACTACCAAGGGTTCTTTTAAACTCTGAAGGATTCAAAATTCCTAATCTTTTAGAGGCATTTTGTAACTAGATAGAGCAATGAACTGTATAACACATACTTATGGAAAAACAGCTACTGATTTATTTGGGCAACATTTCAAAGAGTATTCTCTTAACAGACCATTCGGCCATTTAATCCCCAGATTTAAAAAGATTGAATAATAATTATATATGTACCTGAATAGAGTCCTTGCTCAGCTCTTAATGCTATTTTACCATCTTTTATATAGAAACCATCTATAACAACTTTAATAACTGATGAATATCTAACACAACCAGAGAATACTTCAATAACAAATGTTACAATATCTTCTTCTAAAATCTAAAAATATGTTCATTATTATTGAATAAGTATTAATGTTCAGTTAAAATAGGAAATGTCTGGCACTGACACTGTCAGGCTTAAACTGAGACTTTGTCAGGCACTAATTGAGACTTTGTCAGGTATAAATTGAGACTGTCTGGGATAAATTAAGACTTTGTTGGGTACAAATTGAGACTTTGTCAGGTACAAATTGAGACTTTGTCAGGTACAAATTGAGACTTTGTCTGGTGTCTGGTACAAATTGAGACTTTGTCAGGCACAAATTGAGACTTTGTCAGGCACAAATTGAGACTTTGTCCGGCAAAATTGACACTTTGTCAGGCACAAATTGACACTTTGTCAGGTACAAATTGAGACTTTGTTGGGTACAATTGTTCACTGTTTCAGAAACTCAGAAGGAAGTAAAAAAAAATAGAATTGACTGACATAAAGAGAGAAATCATTGAAAGATTGACGGTCAGAAAGAGAGAATTCATTGACATTTGAAAGAAATAAATGAACAACACACTGTTCTGAATAGAAATATGTGAAGACTTGTAAATTAATATACCCATATTTAAAACAGGATTATCAATCTTAAAAACACTTAGAAATGAAATGGGTTTAATGTCCTACTTTGTCATATAATTAGAATGCTAACTATAGGTTAACTGTTTTAACATCTTAGATAGTAAGCTTAAACATACATCATGCAAGAGCTAAAATGCCTATTGCAGGTCCATCTTTAGGCCTGAAATGTTATCTAAATTATTAATTAGACATTAATTAACTTATCCAGACCATAATCAACTCTCGATGTCATCGCTGCCTGCGGTCCTGCGATGTTTATTGGATTAGGTTCCGATTTCCTGTTCGACTTCCATTCATAATTTAATCATGAAGTGGATAATCAAGACTATGTTTTTTATCGTACCGACTTTAGTAATGATGATGATCAAGGCTAGGCCGAAAATTCAATCGCTAAAATCTGGGTTCTGAGTGGATCAATTTGACTGAAATTTTCAGCAAATTCCCTTATTGTTATCTAGATTTTAACTATTATAATGAGAACTGCCAGCTCTTTATCTAATCTAATCTCCCATAATGTCTCTTTAAATTATAAAATATATTAGAAACACATATAGATATTTTTTTACCTGGTTATTTTCAAAATATTGTTGAATATGCTCTTCTACAGAAACCATGCCACTATCATATGTGTCTAATATATAAGAACAGTGCTGTAGTATCTGACCGTGACTTAAAGCCATGCTGATAGATTTCTTATACAAAGGTAATACTTGTGATGCTAGACTTAATACAATAAAAAAAAAAGCAAGAACATTCCATAAGTATCATGCAATAGTTAAAAAGGAAATCAGAAGGAAAATATCAGATAGGATGAAGAAGTACCAGTGATAAAAACTTTACTTTGATAATAAATTGTGATGGAAGATTATCAAATAACATGTACCCCCCACCCCACCCCACACACACACCCGGCTATATGTATTTGACAAGGTCAAATGCATATTTCCCCAAGGACACAAGATGTAAACAGGGTTAGGGCCCATGATTATTGCCGAGGATTGTGATTTAGGGTTAGCATAAGACATACATGTAGGGCTAGGTCTTGGATTCGGGTTAGGGTAAGCGGTAGCCTTGTTTACATCTTGTGACCTTAAGGAAATTATGCGTTTGGCATTGTCAAATAGATCTAACTCACCCACCCCTGACATCAATTAGTGTGACGTATATCAACACATGTCAACCAACAAGATTATTTTGTTGTTGTCACATCATAAGTGATGCCATTTTACCAATCTGATTAAAATACAGATTTTGTTTCGTTTCGTTTTTATACTTTCGATGGCCTACACTACATGAATATCTTACAAGTTGTACTCCAAGGTCGTGTCAGGGGTCGTACGAGTTGCTTTTGACCCTATGACGTCAGACATTGATTAATCAATCATCGTTGACGTTTCAAGTGGTTTACCCACAGTTCCGTACATGGCACGCCAAGAAGGCGCCGTAACAGACTGTTTCATTGGCTTATCCCTCACTTCAACCAGATTCTAGTGTAGTAAAGACAAGTAAAACGAATTTTGAACTATAAAATACGAAACGAAATAGGACCTGTGTTTTAATCAGATTGTCATTTTACCTGACTACCTAAACATTTAATAAAGCGCCAAATTTGATGTTCATGTTCCACATCAAACTATAACTTTGAAAAAGATGGCGGTCAGGTTAAAATATTCCATCAGATGAATATATGTGAACTTTCTGTAAAAACTGCAATTTTCAATGACCTAGGAAGTGATTTCACAAACCGTGTAAAACATAGGATGTCACAAAAGATGCCTAGTTTTGTTGTTGTCACGGGTCATGGCATGGCTATCTTTGCTCTGGTTCATTAATAGCCTGCTCAGACGCTTAAGATGAACTGGTTTAAAAACCCTGGGGATCAAACAGTATACCGTTAAACCAGTTTAACCTTGTCAACTGTCATCTGAACGCAAATGTGGGGCAAATAAGCCAGTTTAAAAACCCTGTCTTTGAGAAGGCTTTTTATTTTAAACTGGTTCATCTTGGCCGTCTAAACGGGTTGGCTTAAAAAACGTGTCTCCAGCTTGCGTTGGACATGCGCAGTACGCAGTAAGTTATATTCCTGGGAAAATAGTGGCTTCATGCAGTGCCAGGGTTATCAAAAGCATGTTAGAACTAAATAAAGAATAGAAAACTACCCATGCATAGTTAACTCTAACCTCTGACTGAAGAGTTCAGAATAGTTATACTGGTTTGGCTTGTAGCCTAGTACATATCTTAAAAATCCTGGCGATTTTGAACTGGTTTAAAAATAAGCGTCTGATCGGTATATTAGTAACGCCAAGAAAAAACTACCTGTGTTTACGTTTACGTTACCAGACCAACCCTCGAATTTTTTTAATCTGGCCCAAATCGCCTACCCTGAACTTTTTTTTTTTATCATTTCTTAGGTCCTATAAATTGGTGTTGCTGTGGTTTTCTGCAGACACTGAAATTTTGGTATTATAACAGTCCAAATCAGCATTATTTTACAAAACCTTATTCAGTAATGAAGCTAGAAATGCTAGGAAATAGATAATAAACACTTTTCCTGTACCTAAAAGGACATCATAAAGGCTATCGAGTGCAACGATGTATTTTATTAAAAGATTAGTTCTATTCAATCTTAATCCACATACCCTATGAAAAATAACAAAATTCCAACAGACTGACCCCATTTTTTGTGGCCAAGTAAACACAGGTATATTTTTGTTTGGCCTAATAAAAAAAACAAAATTGGAAACTAGAGAAGAACAACAGATGACAAAGCTATATTTGTTTTTAAGGTACATATCTTTGTAAGATATGATTGTGAAGAAAGACTATAAAGAACCACAGCAAATTACAAATATAAAATGATCAATACCATTATCAATTATAATATACACATGATCATCACATGTATGAATTTAAATCCTGTCATTTCGTGAAATTTAATTTTGCATACCATACTGGTAGTTTAATTAACTTTAAGTACAGGCTGATTTCTTTAGGCATTTATAACATGGATTACAATTACAAATCACAATTTTCCTCAAATTCAAAAACATTGTACTTAATTGAAATTGTGTAGATAAATTTAAAATTATTTATTTTTCTAACAGTGTAACACTACAGTAAATACTGAGTAATTTACTAATTAAATTAATTAATACAGCTTTTGTGTTCCAAATAAGTTTGCCACTAATTTTAGGACACGATGCATAGATAAAAATCATTTTCAAAAACGGCTAAATAAAAAGATGAAAAATAATGTAATTACAGCGCTGTTAAATCAATTCCAACTCATCAAAATGTGATATGTCTTGGTCAACTGTTGAAATTCTAGAATAGCAAAGCCATACATGGGGGCTGACATATTGGAATTGTCTAGGTAACGGTAAACAACATCGATTTTTTGCTGAAAATGTTAAAAATAGGTTAAAAAGACAACTTTCAACGCTTACATTACAAAATCTATACCTACTTTCTGGTAATTATCAAATAAGATTTAAATAAAACTGTATCAAAAGTGTTGTTTTCTCACGGTAAATAATTAATATCAAATTTTGTTTACAAACACCTCCATATTGATTATTTTCGTATCCGGGAACCCTGGGTAAAATTTGGAATTAATTCATGATCCACAAAAAATAACTAAATACTGTATTGATAATCTTAAATAGGCAAAAATCAACAAAATACAATGTCAGCAGTCATTAGTAAATAAAATATTTATGGAACAATAAATCTAGGTTCTCCGTAACTTAACGGGGGCGTGCCGACGATGAACTCCGTATGCAAATGAGATATCGAGAGTCCCGCTTTGGCTAAGTCTCGAATATCACTTTGTTTGACTTTTCACTTCATTGAAATAGAATGTTTAGCTTTGATAATCGAGTCTACATTGAGCGTCGCTCTTCGAGTAAATACTATCAACATAGCTTTGTGTTAGATTCAAGGAAGGCATCGTTACTAGCGTGCATCTTTATTGTGTTGTTTTAATTCGTAAGGAAATATGGAACCCGTTGAAGTAAGTAATATGTTAACAAAATTTATATAAAGAAATATATTTAACACAAATTTTAGAAATAAGACTGCCATTGCAAACGGCACAAATGTGTTAAAACGTCGGCCGAAATCCTGCAAGTACCAATTTCTGACTTTGTTTACTGGCAATACTGCCTGCAAATTCCAATTTCAGATAAAAGATTTGTTTTGATTTCTTAATTTTTCAGCAAAGGGAGATATCGGCGCCACGTGTGGGACGATTCAAGGTTTACATACAGGTAAGTTTCTTAATTTTTTGAAGGTAGAAAATACAGAAAAATAACTGCGCAACTTTAACAGTTCAATAAATATTCAGGAATTTTCAGCACGGTTCAATCGCTTACGGTACCGTGCATACAGTTGAATTTGGCACCGATTCAAAATGTATAATGTTCTTTCCCCGAAAGCATATATTTTGGGGGATTATCAGCAAACCTAGGAAATAAAAGACAATATTGACATATTTCATGAAAACAAAATAACACACGCGCATAGCCTATTATAGTGTTGATTCCAGAAAACGGGAATTTGAATTGCCTTTAGCTGCACGGGGGGGATATGAAACTGCTTACATGTACATGAATCGAATACACCATCTGTTGGCTATGGGGCTTGTGAATTGACGAGCTGCAACTAAAAGACCAGCGTGATGTTTTTCAATGAACAATCAATAAAATGAACTATTTTCGGCAAACAGTCAACAGTTAGTTCAAGTTCCAAAGAGATAAAATTCCTAAATAGAAATTGGAAACATTTTGCTCAGTTTCTTTCATGGCCTTACAATAAATATTGCACATATAAACCTACATGTAAGTTGCCACAAGGCAGAAATCTGTCTTATGATTCATTTTGTCCTAGATAGTATGTATACTAGTAGTCTGCACAAAATATAAAGTACATACATACTGCAGTTTTGTTTTAATGCAAATAGCTGAAAGTATTATACAAAGAAAACTATATGTTTTGGGGAGGATTCTAGATCTATATCAAGGAAATGATACAAAGTTAAAATGAATCAAGTTGATTAAGGAATTGAAATTTAAAACTTTAGAATTGTGACATTAAGAAGACAACATGCATTTACATTCAGATTGCAAAAATTATAATATTTTATAAAATCATTCTCCTAAAAAAATCACATCAATCATCAGACAACCCCTGTAAAACTTTTTAGTTGCTTTGGTGGCAATTTTTTAGTTGTAAGTCTACTTGTCTAGGTCTAGGATCAAAGAGTCATTTAGAATTTGTACTTGAGATGTTATTTTTATCTAGCCTATCATGATAAGATATACTAGGTGAAGATGATAGTTGGCCGCGTTAATATCATAATAAATAGCAGTTTAGAAATAAATTTTTAAATATTGAAAATAAATTTTTTAAAATATTGAAAATAAATTTTTGAAATATTGAAAATAAATTTTTAGAATGTTGAAAATTAATTTTTCAAATTTTGAAAATTATTTTTTTTTAAATCACAGCAATAATTTTTTCAATTAAAATTAATCAAAACAAATAAATTTTTTGAATATTGAAAATGAATGTTTCAAATTTTGAAAATAAAGTTTTTTTAATTCACAAAAATAATTTTTCCATTTACATGTATTCACATTGTTAAACTTTTTATATATAAATATGTACAGATTTATTGAATAGAAATTGTATATTATTATTTAACATGCACTAAAATCACACGGTCATGCAAGAAAGACAAACTAGATATTTGTCAAATGAGCTTTAATACCAGTTTTTCCAGAATTTTCTACAAATTTTATTTAATGGTTCAACGATTTCTGTTTTTTAATTGTAAGGTTTTGTTAGATGTAACACTATACTGATATTCAGATATCAGATAATTTCATTTTTATTACATTAATAAACACATTAATTAGAACCATATTCCAGTAGGCCTATTATATTTACAATGCACATGCATTTGCCCATGCATTACTATTAATGGTATCTAGAGCTTTACTGTTAGCCCAAACCACATGGTGTTTATATACAATTATACTACAGAAAGGCTACATGCTTTATAGCAGGTACGTGTTGTGCATGGACAAGGTCCAAGTTAACAAAAAAACCACATAGATTTACAGCTAGATGTGGTAATATTTGCACCTGACATTGTGTGAGTATATATCAAATGTTTGATAATACAAGTGCTTGTTGGGTTGTTTACAAAACACAGCTAATGGTACAAGTAGGTTACACTATATTACAGGGGGCGTGTTCTAGTGTCTGGGTTTGAAGGTCAAGGTTACTCAACATGTACATATCAATAATGAGTTGCTGAACAGAAAGCTATGGCTAAGCTTGCAAAAACAAAAATCTATATCCTAAATTGTCCTGAGATGTTCTTTTAGTATGGTGTATTTCAATGAAATGATTCCATATTGATTTCCAGTCTTCCACATGTATACATGTACATTGTAAAATTGTTTTCGGATTTAAATGAATGTCAGAATTTATTTTTTCTGAAAGGTTGAAGTTGTAACATCGTATTAAATCTGTGATTCCATGGAATACATGATACATATTTTATTATGATTTAACTTTTTTATTATGCTTTTGAATATTACATTATTATATGTATAATTATTACAATACATATACATGTACAATGTATACCACTGTAACTATTACAATACATATATACTACTATAATTATTACAATACATATACATGTATACCTCTATAATTATTACAATACATGTATACCACTATAATTATTACAAAACATATACATACCAATATAATTATTACATGTACATGTAACACTGTCTTCTCCAAAGTGTTTTTTTTTTGGGGGGGGGGGGACCTGGGTGGTCTAGTTGTTTAACATGTGCATGTGAAATCATAAGGTCTGTCATTGCGTCAAGCCATAAAATTGAACCATATGTTAGTCTCAAAATGACCGATTTTCTTTCCCTCGCTCTCTCTCCAAAGTAATTTGATATGATTGACATGCAAGTAAATTTAACAAAACCCCTGAATAACATGATAAGTGCATATTAATATTGGTGATACATATATAAGAATGTATATACTGTGTGTTATAATAAATATGTTACAGACAGATGTATTACTAAGTGTATAAAACATGAATATTGGATTTTGTCTGGTTAATAAAACTACCAATACAACACAACCCATGCTGTCACTTTCAGAAATTATAACATAGTTACATTTACTTATATCATAAGAACCAATAATTTACCTACAAAAATATATAATTGTTGAATAATTATAGTAATTATTGTTGTTACAATCTGATTTAAATACAGATCTATATTTCGTTTCGTTTTTTTATACTTTTGATGACCTACACTACATGTTTTAATCAAAATCTTGTCCTAGTATACAGCTCACAAATTCCAACACTGTTGCTTGTAAACTCAATATTTTAGTTTACAAGGGATCAAATATCAGGGTTTCTATATATATTTCTAATATTTGATCTGATACGTGTGTTTATTTGTTATTTCTGTACATGTATATTGTGTCTTGTTCGTAGATTTGTCTTGTGTAATTGTTTTTTAACCTATTCAAACAACTAGACACAGTTCCTTGCCAGACCCTTGGTCCTGCTAAACTGAAAAGTGGAAACTATACTCGTAAATCCTGATGAACTTTCTCGGCCAAAGGACGGCACCCCAGACCTCCTGTCTAGTGAACCAACGCCTTATTTCAAAGTATATGACAAGATAAGATTTATTGCACAGTTTATTCTTTTATTTATTTTTTAAAAGTGTTTTGATTCAATTCAATGTTACTAATGGGTTTTTTTTGAGTAGAGAAGCTTTCATAAAAACACAATTAGTTTCCGCTCTAAACTTTACATAAACCTAGCTATTAAAATACATGTATACAGACAATAACAGACGAACCTTCACTGAATTCTTCATATAATAATTAGTTGTCTGTAAGTAGTAAACTAAACATTATTACATTTTGAACAAGGAGATACTTAACTGAATTCCACAAGAGATAAAGCAATCTTATATGGTTTTTTTTATACCGTAATTGTTTCCATCGAGGTTCAAAGAGCCTAACTCTTTTATCAATGTTGTACATCCATAAAAATTATTACTGGAAAATGTAAAAACAAATAATAACCACAGAATAATAACATACACAATAACAGATGACTTTATGGATAACATTCATTAGATTTATTAACTGTAACATTTCAATGAGAATATACTCATTGCTCACCGTCATCATGCTTGATGATGCCAAGAGAGAACACTGATTATAATTACATGTACATACTCGGTACATATTTACAAATAAATACTGTACATACATGTAAGTAAATACTGTAGGCATACATACACATAGATACTGTACACACATAAATACTGTACACACATAAATACTGTACACACATAGATACCGTACATACATTTATAGAAAATAAAGGTGTATACATGGATACTGTACATACATAGATACTGTACATACACAGATACTGTACACACATTACACATAGATACTGTACATTATAGATACTGTACATTATAGATACTGTACATACATTTATAGAAAATAAATAATATACAAGCATGATAAAGTCAATCTAATCGATATGAAAATGATTCATAAAACAATCGAATATTGTATAAAGAAGATTAATAAATAATTAAATTGTCTGTAAAGTTATTGTGTTTATGTGTTGGACTTTGTACAAATAATCAATACCTTTAACAATACACAGTTACTTAACAACCATATTATAAATTTAAAAAAAAACAAAAAAACCCATGTTAATACATGTCAATAGCTTTAACAATAAACAGTTAAATGATAAAACGAAATGAAAAATCTAAACCCATGTTAATACATGTCAATAGCTTTAACAATAAACAGTTAAATGATAAAACGAAATGAAAAATCCAAAACTCATGTCAAATGTTTAACGTCCTACTGTTCTGCACCGACTGGCTAATGAAGACAGGACTATGCCAGACAGTGTGTTATGAAGAGAATTTTGCCTAAACAGCTATCAGCTGCACTGCAGTCTATGCTTATTTTGAATTCCAACTGTTATGGGTTCTTTTACGCGCACACTAATGTGTACACAGGACCTCATCATCCAGCACTTTCTAGCCAACACCGGTATCAAACACAGGACCTCTAGATTAGCACCCCTAGATTAGCACCCCAATTTCTTACTCGCTGAGTCACCGTGGCTCCAGAGTAAAATAACTAGAGAAAGAGAGAGAGAAATGGGGTTTAA